CGACCGAAATAACAATAGCCGGAAACCGTAGCTGTGGTAAAAGATATTCCCAACGTAAAAGGATATTCACGTTGTACCAATAATAATAATAATAATAATATCAATATGCGGCCACAATATTTGTTTTGGTGATTTAAAGTTGAGATGACGTCAAAGGACGTGTGTCGGCTAGTCTCGAACGTTGGTGAAAACGACGGATTTTGTGTCGACGTGTAACAAATCTGTCATGGGCTTGTTTATTCTACTGATTATATGTTATCGTCTAGTTTCTCCGTTTTTACTCTATTTTGTTTTTATTTTTCTCCACCGTCAAATCGGCTATTATCCAACGTGCGCGTTGTTATACAAATCGCCTTTCCCGCTATAGTGGATGAAAAAAAAATGTCTCTTATACATTAACCTATAAATCAGTGTAATTTTCCGCTTCGACCAAATTTTAATCAACTTTTCATGTGCCTTTAAAATATATTAATATTTACCTATACATATTAATTAGCAATGTGACCAAACTACAACAACCGTGCTACTATATTGAATATCAAAAACGTACTAGTCTCAACGAGCACCACATTTTATTAATATGAAATAAGTATACAATATTGAATATACGAACGAGTTTATTTATACGTTTGACTTTATTAATTGAGCTAATATATTGTGTACAAAATATCAATGGCCTAATTCTTGACCTGGTTCCTATTTATCGATTTGATTTAATGTTAAAGAACTCTCGTTCTTTGATTCGTACACTTTTCCTGATAAAATTACAGGTGTAAAACGATACGACACGTAAATTTTCCGACACTGAGTATTATTAATCCAACGATGATAATATATAATATATTATCAGTCTAGTAATCTGCAGCATTCAAAATTGGATACTATTTCATTTTAGTTTAAATGTATACATATTTTATTTTCAATTTAATTTAATTTTAAAAAAGTTATTAAAAATGTATATATTTTTACGTGACTTAAAATAGTTCATAACTGACAATTCAAATACTTTGATAAAGAAAACACATTAGCAATTTACAGTTGCATTAAATAATATGGTGTAAAATACTTTATAGTTTATAAAATAATTTTCATGTTCAAAATAGTTAGCCCTAACTAATACTCGACTTTACTCCCCATTCTCGTATTTTGCAAACTCGAACGACGTGTGAAACAAAATTGTAAAATTATTGTTAAATAGAGTCTTAGTTTATTAAAATAAACACCGAATAAAACTATGCAAGATACTCTCTAGTCTCTATCATATTATACACCTTGAAAATAAACACGTACAATAGGTATTAAAACTATCAAATTACAAATAACAATTAAAACTATGAATTCTATTTTGTAGATTACAGTTTACAATTTAAATGAACATTTACAGTTCAAAACACAATAACACTTAATGAAAGTATAAACATTATATTCTTAGTGTGTTGTCACTTATAATACTTTGATATTTAAAACTCTAAGTAAATTAATGACTAAACGTGTTAAACAACCTTACGAGATTCAGTATGAATATTCAAAAATAAAATAACTGTGTACGTTAATAAAATTAGAAAGCAAACAAAGTATCCATTGCATGGTTGATGGTCACTTAATAGTTAATTCACATCACTTACGTTAACATAAGCCATAGTTTTATAATCATTTTCAGTTTGAAAAACCGTGGTATTTTTAAAATAAAAATGACATTTTTCAAAACAATTCATTAAAACTACTATGATGATGATTAACAATAAAGCTTTAATTAAATTTTCAGGTACTTTTCAAAATTAAAATTTCAAACAGACAAAAAAAAATTAATTTATCAAAATTAAAAATTATATGAAGTGCACAAAAACGTGCAAATTATAACGTAAACATAAGTATTAATTAAAAATATCAATAATCTCTTATTACTTCCTTAGCAACAGTACATATTTATAAATTATTAAACATTGTAGAATACATTCTGTATTATACATTTTATAATATATATACACATTTAAATACAGCCATAATATTTTAAAATGTAAACAAAATACTAACTCTTTAATGTCTTCTTCGTTTATTAATTCCCGATCTGTAGAACGGTAAATTTTAATACTTTAAGAATATTTTAAAAGGTTAACAGCTAATAAATTAAGGATATTTTTATAAAAACAACTCATTGTACAATCAAATATTGCTAATCTGAAATCAAGTAATCAACGGAAATTAATCAACACGTATATTAATAAATTATAAAATATAATTTTTTCTCTTTTAATAAACGATAAAAAATTTAGGTAAGTAAGTACCGATCTGCTGTGCAATAAATGTCAAGTAGGTCATTATTATAAGTTTGTTAAATTTAAATTCAATGATATATTATTGTATACGAAAAATAATTCTGATTAGAGATGGTCTATCAGCCTATAACATTAAGTTATAATGTTTTTTTGATATACCTAGCTATAAAAATAATTTATTTTACTTTTAGTATTATAGTAGGTTTATATAATTTTCTCCAAAAATATTGCATTTATTACTCGTATATTATTAATATTTAATTATTATAATAATATGTATTTATACTATATTACATCAACTTATATAACTCTTATGTTTAATAAAATTTTCCTATAAATACCATAACACAGTAAAAACAGATTCATAGTGCCTATATAAATTAATAATATTTTAAAATATCAAGCATATTATTATTGCAAATAGTAAAATTTATAATAATAAAAGTTAAAGTTCCCACGAATAATATTTTTATGTTATAATAAAATATTTAACTTATCATTATTAATCATTTAAAGGTCCAAATTGGAATTTCATATACCTATAAAAGATAATTGTCTATAATTTTTTTTAATTTTTCTATCTGTTTAAAAGTACCTTTCATGGATTTAGTATTAAATGTTCAAACATTTCTACCCAACAAATAAATGTTAATCGACATTAAAAAAAAATCTAAAAATAGTTGAAAATATCTCATGCCTCTGAATAATTCAAAAAAATTTAAATAAAATATCAAAAATTGTTTGAATATAAATAATTATTTTACGAGTGAATATAGAATGTCGTAAACATTTGAACTTGAAATGCACATAAAAAAGTAATTCGGTCTTCTGGTAGAATTCTTTTTTCATAATATATAAGTTGAAAAACTAATAAAGAACCTTGTATTAAACTTTCAAATCTTAGGTATAAAAACAAAAATTTATATGAATTTCTAACTAAAATATAATTTACTAATTTTCACGAGTTTTATGAATTTTGTCAAAGCTCTAACTTTAAACGCTTACAAAAAAAATATGATGAGTATAGATTTTCGATATTGTTTAATTGGGGATTTAAAAACTTATGAGTTGTCTATTCAATTTTCAAACATTTATACCCAGCAAATAATTTTTAAGCGATCATTTCTAGAAAAGAAAATAATAAAAAATTTTAAATTTCTCATACTTATAAATAGTTTAGATAATATTTTAAAAATTTTATCATAAATAAAAAGCAATACAATAAATATATTAGATGAAAATTTCAAGTATTTACGGTTTTTCGTTTTTAAGTTGCACATAAAATAAATAAAATCGATTTTGTCAAAAATTTGATTTACATATAAATTCTTGATGTCACTTAATTTTTTTTGTTTGTTTTTTTCGACTATAAAAATAAGTACTAGAAATTTTTAAGTTTGACCTCTTCAAAATACAAACTAGATTCAATTTTTTATCTAAAACCAACCCTCATATTAACAATTAGAGCATTTTTATCAACAACTTGTCGTGTATCAACTCATACACAAAAATAAAAAACACATCATCAATCCGCTCAGAATCTAGAATTAAGAAAAAATAGAAATTTTTATGCTAAACAAAGTTTTGACAACATTTATTTCATTATTTTGTGATAATTCAAAAATGAATAACCGTAAAAACTATATTATTAGTATTTTCTACACTCAACATAATTTTCAAAATATTTTTATTCTTTTTAAGCTATTTATAAACATGAGAATATTTTTTATTTTTTTTTTTTTTTTAATAACATTTTTTCGATTGGTTGAAAAGCTTGAAAATGTAATAAAAGATGCTACATAAGTTTTTATTACAAATATGTACAAATATTTAAAACAGACATAATTTTTATTTTATGTATTTGAAGTTAAAATTTAGATGAAATGACATATTTAAACGATACTGTTCATTATTTTGCTATAATTTAAAAATCTAGTAAGTACTTAAAACTTTTATGTTTATTATATATATTTTACTATACGCAATGAAATTGTAAAAATTTTAGATTAATTTTAAGATATTACTTATTTTGTATTCATACTATAAACTTAATACTTGACACTGTTTTACAGTTACAGTGACTCACTCGACATCTGATATAATGTATCTGTAAAAATAAGCGTACATAGAAAAATAAACTAGATAATACTAAGAAAGTAATGGGAATTTTTAAGTTTGACATCTTTAAATTACCAACTATCTAAAACCACCACCATTTTAAAAACATAGACATTTTATCAACAACTTTTGTTTACTCATCCCCCATCCAAAAACAATAAAATCAACACATTCATTGCTCCGCTTGAAATCTGAAATAACATGAATTCTTTCAAGTCCAATTATTCTAAAAAGAAAATAAAAATAATAAAAAGTAAATAAATACAATAATAATTTTAAAAAATGTATGTATTATTAAGAATAGGTACCTATTATTAAATAACAAATAATTATCTACTGATGATTCATGTTTTTTTTTAATTATTAAATAATAAATATTATTTTTAAAATTAAATTTAAAATGTTATTATTAGTCTGTTAATAAATTATAATTATAGTAAACAAGAAAAAAATAGTGTAATCTATATCAAATACTCAAAATTTGTCGTCGTCGTATAGCGCGTAACATCTATAAAACAACTTATTTGATTGTTAATAATATACCTGTTGATTATTTCAACAATATAATAGCTAATGAATAATATTGTACTGTCGTGTTTTGTACAGGTAAGTGCTTACACGTTGGTAGCCATTAGTGTTGACAGGTACATTGCGATTCTGTGGCCCCTGAAACCAAGAGCCAGCAGACACCAGGCCAAATACATAATAACGTTGGTTTGGACTGTAGCTGTGATTACAGCGTTTCCAATACTTCTAGTTACAACATTGGAACAGCCATCGAATTGGCATAAGGTTATAATATTATGATATATCGTGATAATCGTGACAATGCTTGTATTATAATTATATTTAATTAAAAAACAAGAAATTTACTTTCTTATAGAATGAAAATGTTGACTAAAAAAAATGAAATCTCAACATTTATATTTATCTTTTGTGTATAGTGAATATATAAAATGAAATTCGAATACACATTTTGATAATTTAAACAAATGTATAACAACTCGGTTGAAAATTTTTGGTGGATAAAACAAAATATAAAAGTACATTTTTTCCAAAAGTGATTTTATTTTATTGTAATTGTAAACTTTATACAATTTGTTGACAAATAACTTTTCACACTTCACACCTATCTATAAACTAATATATCTATATAACAAAGACAGATTGTAAATGTCTTTATGTAAGCTCTGTACTGGTGCAGAACAATAACAATAGTCTTTCGTATTAGTTTTTACATAAAACAAAAACTTCATAAAGTTATTCAAAACAATAATGACACATCACTATATTTAAAACAATATTATTGAAAATATTTTTTTAAATAATTCGTTTATGTTTTAAATTTTAGAGTAGATATATATAACAATATTAAAATGAAACTAATATTATGCACATAAACCTCTCGAGTAAAAAATTTCTATCGCGTTATACGCGTAAACTTGTAAAAATATGTTTTCTTTTACTATTACCTATACATTGTATATTTTTTTTAATTCACTAAATGATGTCATTTTTTAATATACAAGTACTGTTGATTTACATTTACACCAATTTATTATATTACCTACTCTATTAATTAATTTTTTTCACCCGTTAGCAATGCGGACTCTATATTTGCAACGAGAACTGGTCAAGTGAGAAAGTCCGGCATTACTATAATGTAGCATTGTTGGTGCTTCAGTATTGCATACCATTCATCGTTTTGCTATTTACATATGTAAACATCGGAGTCGTTGTATGGGGTAAAAGAACTCCAGGCGAGGCACAGAACTCTAGAGACGTTAGAATGGCCAAATCGAAGAGAAAAGTAACGTTTTTGATCAAATTGCGATTTTCATTTCTATCACGAATTTTTTTCGATTTTTACAGATGATAAAAATGATGGTAACTGTGGTAATAGCGTTCACAGTTTGTTGGCTGCCATATAATATACTTTTGGTGAGTGTACCTACTTTATATTTATTATGCAAACACGTCATGTTTTTACTTTAAAATCAAATATAAACAATACTATTAAATCGAAATTTAAACTTTTAAATTATAAAACTTTATTATTTGCTAAAACACGTGTTACTTTTATATTTACACAAAAGTTTATTTGAGTACAATTTGATTAACATAACAATAATCATCTGAGAAATGATTAATGTTGATGTTAATGACAAATGGTTTTTTTTTTACTTAATTTATCCACCAATTAATTAATAAAAAATCGTTCAAAACCCTTGATAATTTTAAAATTGTGACAAATACATTATGATATTGTCATTAGTATTTAATTTTATAAAAATGTAATAATATTATTACATAAATTACCAATTAATAAATAATTATTTAAAAATATTTGTATCATTACCTATTTTGGCTGAGGTAAATGCCAAAGATTGTAAACGTACTACCGTCGATACCCGATATAATATACTTACTATTATACATTTTCTTTCAAAAACTGAAAAAAATACTATCGATAGCACACATAACAATATTATTAATATATATTAACTATAGTTTCATGAAACATTTTACGCGATATGAGAAACGATAATTTTGCTTATAAAAACATTTTTAGTACCTATTTTACTTATATATTAACTAAGTGGTATTCGGATATCAAACATGTACATAAAACACACGCAAAAATAATCTGAAAAATAATTAAACAAAAAATTCTGTATTTATTATAAGACAAACATTTAATATTTTTATACATAGAAAGAGATAAAGAGAAAGAGAGAATATACTATACTTAATTATACCGAGAAAAAAAATTATAAATTACTTAATACTAAAACAAAAACATTGTTTACAAATAATTATTGATTAAACAAAAATGCGACTTTTAAACACTAAATTTCCTTAAGTTTACTGAATATTATCTAAATTAACTTCTCACATTAAATTACAGTAAAAAAAATCCATATTTTATATTGAGTTGTGAGTATGTATTTGACTCACCAAGTAAAAACATTCTTTAAGAATACTAAGTAAAATTATATTATATTAATTCATATTTTATATTAGTAGAAAACATTAGATGTGTTTTTAACTCATGTTAAAATTCTAAAGAAACGTTTCCAATTTTAATATCACACTATGTCATATTATTAAACAAAAAACAAAAATTACTTTAAGAACTATTATTAAAACTGATTTATAAAAATATGTTAAAGATTTTTCTTTTTAAGCGATTCAAAAATGTATATATCTTTTATTTCTTAAGCTTTTTTTTAGCAATCGATAAAAATATAATTTGTACGTATCAATTAAATAGTACAAAAACAATTTATCAAGCATTTTCTTTAAAATTATTTACAAATATTTTGTGAATCCACTTTTAATTATCAAAAATACAAACGTACATAATATTATTACTGTTAAAATAACCAATAAGTATCTAACTATATTGTATCATATAATTTTACGAAAAACCCATTAATGAAATTACTTTTAAAAATTGATGTAGCAACTGTATTCGGAAGTATAACATAATTATATTTTTAATAAGGATTTTATAGACTAAAGAGTATTTTATTTAAATAATCTAAATAAGCTCATCTGAATATTGCCTAAAAAAAATTCTGACAAAAGAACTATAGCGTATTAGAATTAATTAACTATATTATTACAATAAAATTAAACTATAATAACAATTAACAATAGCAAAAAAAATAATTTAACTACAAATAAAATGTATATTATTTTATTTAATCTATGAATAGAATATAGCACAATACACATCAAACTTTTGTTTATGATTGTCTCTAATAATATTTGTAATGCATTCGAAGAATTTAAATAAAAATTAAAAAACAAATTATAACAATAGAAAGCAACATAGTTAATATACAATTAAGTATTAGCGGGAATAATAAAACGTATGTGTAAGCGTGTAGCGATTGTACATGCACAAGGGTACTACAATAATAGATTAAATTACAAGTACACAATAAGTATAGCAACAAATATTAAAAAATAAGGTGAATGAGTTCAAACTTCAAATTATTAAATATAACGTAAGAAAAGTAGTCCCGCGGAAAATGTAATAAATAAAATAAAATGAAAAAACTTAACAAAACGCTATAGGTACAATATTGTTTAAAAAATAAAGATACGTCATACGTATCAAACAGTAATTTAAATATTACTCGAAAATTGTGAAACTATAATAACAGTATGTTATGTAGTTCAGAATATTTTCTAAAAAGAGCAAAAAGAAGATTAATATGGCAAAAAAAAATGTATTGAGGTAAATAATGTGATTTGTAAGTTATAACGACTTTAGATACAGTATACAAAACTTTGTAGTGAGACATATGGACGACTGCAGCTTCTATAAATATAAAAACCAATAAAACATATTTAAATTGAATTACGGCAAAAAAAAAAAAAATAATAAAATACATTTATTTAGAGTTTTGCTATAATAAAAATAGGTTTCAGCAGTACAAAAACATACCGTAAACAAATAAGGCTATATTATTATTATTATTTATATAATATATTATATGCATTTGAATTATATATATTTCTTAACCGATTAAAACCAATTATACGCTTTTAAGGCGCAATGCTTTCAAAATGAATTTAAATAAATATTATATAATATTCAGCTATGTTTTAGTTTATAAAAATAAAAATATTTTTTTTTCTTTAATCAAATTAATTTTATTGAAATCAATGATTAAAAAAATTGTTTATTATGTGAACAAGACTTAAAAAGACGAGTAAATAAACAGTGAAAATGTTATTATTATTATTTTATTTAATAATAAAATCTTAATACAATCTTTAAGTTTTATAAGACATTAATTAGGATAAAATAATAATTTAAAGTAGGTAATTAAAATTCAACTTTTTTAACAAAAATATAATATTGTAACAATTATTTTTATAAAAATGTTGGTAACTCTATTATAAACAGGAAAATGTTAGATAAGTAATCTTACCATGTTCTTAAGCTTATAAATACATATAATTTATATATCTATGCACAAAAAATATTGAATTAGGAACCTAATTAAATTTATCTAGTTATTGTTTAATTTTATAAAAATGACTATTTTTACAGTCAATAAAATGATACAAGTTTCGCTTAATTAAAATTTAAAATGTCATTTGATTATAATATCTAATCATATACATGACATTTGAAACACAATCGTATACAATTCATGGATAATTCTATGTCAAAAAATCAAATAGAAATAAAAAACCACTATTCACTATCCAGTGGCGTTTCCTGACTTTCGGCGTTAGGCGTTAATGTGTGAGGAAAACAATTAGGAAAACTCCCCTTACGGGAAATAAATTCGTATCAACTATTAACAATCAACATATTATTAAAATTATTTATTTTAAATACTTTTAAATTTTTAAAAATACATCCAAATCCAACATCTATAAAATTAAATATAATATAAAACTGAAAATGTACAAATTAATATAATAATGAATATATTATGTTTTCGACGATCGGCGTTGCAGTCTTGCAGTACGAGTGTACGACGTAAACAGGATAACGTGCAGCCGCGACGATCCCCACTAACGGTCCAAACACAGTGTATAGGCTAGCGCTAGACTAGTGAGTAGTGGCTAGTCGTTAATTTCATTTTCAACGACTTGGTCTAGTATTAACATGGCACCGAAGTTATCCGAAAATATCACGACAAATTACGAATATGAGATATTAGATACCACAAGTCGTTGTTCGAAACATTAACGTCCTACACGGCTACACCCTACACAAACACAACATAATACAATATTATTCCGTAATCGGCGTAATCTTATTGGACGCCGTTGCGCGTCGTAGCTGCACACGGCGCGGGCGAATGGTCGAGTTTAGAGCTTAAAATAGACAATAGTAACAATAGTTTATTATTTGATATTATTATTTTTACATGACAATTATTTTAAGATTTTGTAAATAAAATTATATAACCATGTAATATACTAATATGAATTACAAATTACAATATTACACACATGTATGACATCAATGTTTAGGGCGTTAACACACAACTTGCACACCCAGAGAAAACGCCACTGTCACTATCATAAACTTACAATTTATTTATAATTTCTTAACAAATTCCATTCATACTCCCAAGAAGTATATACCATAACAAACACCTCCCATTTGGCTACGACACGATTGAGCATAAAACACCTTTTTTGCGACACGATTGAGCATAAATTGTCGGCGCATCAAAGGAAATTGAAATACAAAAGAAAACCAACACGATTGAGCATAAAAAACTCTGCAATGTTGCCATTTTTAATTTTGAAATGTATTATACAAAAAAAATGTATTTAAATAATTATAATAATTCAAAATATAATATAGTACATAGATCTGTTTGATAATAATAAAATAATAATAATAATAGTTATGACTTATGAAAATAATAAAATCAAAATATTTATAAATAGAAACTATAAACGCACTTATACGAAACGCACTAAACACGACTATAGGTGATCGAACACTGATATTAATTCTATAATAATTTTGGAATTGAATCTTAATTATCTTATATTTTCCCCCGATGCTAAATATTTGATACGGAACTAGTTTATTTATCGATAACATTGTCGATAAAGCTGAGGAGCTCGGCTCACGGCTCGCGTCAGATATAATAATAATTGGTGTAATACGTAATACGTGAAAATAATAAATTACAAAATTTTGGCAACGTGAATTTGGCAACATCGCATAAAATATTCTATGCTCAATCGTGTTGCTAAAAAGGTCTATGCTCAATCGTTTTATGCTCAATCGTGCTTTACCGTCCCATTTAATTTTCAGCAATGACTGCAGAGTTAACGCATTATACCTGCTCATCATGCGAACACAAAGTGCCAAGTGGACATACTTTAATAATCACGTCCCGGATTTATCTTCTTTTTTTTTTTTTTAGAGATATTGGGGACGAGCG